GTTGGAGTGTTTGATAGTATTTTGGGTGCTGTCATATCGCTACACCATACAATTTGCAAAAAGTGAAAGCTGAAAATGTTTTGAGGTTAATGTGTTACAAATAAATCAAGTATAAAGCTTGAGATTTTATTTTAACCTGGTGAAATATAAATGACACACTCCACGAAACTATATATATATATATATATATATATATATATAGATATATATATATATACACATCTAGTTTTACGTCGTACCTAACAATGCCCCTTAGCTGTTATAAATTCACTGTAAACCACGGCTTCTTGGGACTTATTGCTTTAATATATAATGCCAGATTTATTAGACAACTAATAAAAGCAAGCTGATGTGATCAAGGAAATTTATAATCATATCACCTCTCAAGCTGAGTTTCTTTAGGGTTTTTAGACATACAGACTCGTAGGTTTCCTCAGAGCATTGACGATTATGGGATGTAGTATTCTGGTCTGTATTGCAGGACGGTGCGGATGCTCCTGTGAAGACGGTGGGGCCGATTACAGACGCTGACATCATCAAGCTGCGACCGTGTGAAAAGAAACAGGTGTGTGGAATAACACACTGCTAGCTACTCGTATTGACTTTCTTATTTCTTATTGAAGTTTAATTTTTTAACTCCTCGATGCACTGTTGATTTGTGATATCACAAATGTAGTTTTTATTTTATTTATTTTTTACTCCTCAGTGCATTATTGATTTTCATGCAAATCAACCGGAAGTGATATTACAAATTCCGTTTTTATTTATTTATTTATTTATTAATCCTCGATGCAATTTTTATTACTACTCTATGCATTATTGATTTGCATCTTGCAGTAGATATAATAGCACATTTATTTATTTAAACATCAGTGCATTATTGATTTGTATCACACAATGCAAATCCACTGGATGTGATATCACGATTTCAGTTTTTATTTATTTATTTATTACTCCTTAATGCATTATTGTTTTGCATCCCACAATGCAAATCAACTGGATGTGATATCACAAATACTGATTTTATTTTATTTTTTACTCCTCAGTGCATTATTGATTTTCATGCAAATCAACCGGAAGTGATATTACAAATTCCGTTTTTATTTATTTATTTATTACTCCTCAATGCAATGTGATTTCACAAATTTATTTAATTATTTATTACTCCTCTGTGCATTATTGTTTTGCATCTTGCAGTGGATATAATAGCACAAATTTTTATTTATTTATTTACACATCAGTGCATTATTGATTTGCATCCCACAATGCAAATCCACCGGATGTGATACCAGAAATGTATTAATAATTCGTTTTTTTTCCATTTTCCATTTTTCACATCACTAGTATTTCATTCTGAAAAGTATCTGATGCTTCATTTGTCTTTGATTCTTAACTCTCAGGTGGACTTCAGAGACAAGCTCTATCTGGCTCCTCTCACTACGGTAAACTCTCAGTGTTACTCTTATATTTACGGTCAGTGAGAAGCGTGCTTCCGCAGCTCATCCGGTGTTTGTGGTGCAGTGTGGGAATCTGCCGTTCCGGCGCGTGTGCAAGCGGTTCGGAGCAGATATCACGTGTGGAGAGATGGCCATGTGCACAAACCTGCTGCAGGGTCAGACGTCTGAATGGGCTCTGCTCAAGAGACACGCCTCTGAAGATCTGTTCGGCGTTCAGGTACGAGAACCAATCATCAGATGACGTGACGGTCCGATTCTGTTGTGACTGCTGTGATGAGGATTCAGATGAAAGGCTGTGATGAGGATTCAGATGAAAAGCTCTGTTTATGCTAGTTCATGCTGGAACTACTGTTCACTGGAGTAAGAAATTATAGCTGCAAGATTTTAAGAGGAAAAAAAATAGATTTTTCTAATAAAAATTGTGATTTAAAATGGGATTTGCAAAAGAAATCCCAGTTTTGCGGTGTTTGTCTGTAGGGCTGATTATATACTGTATCAATATGGATATAAAATAATAATAATTATTACTATTATTATAATTATTACTAAAAAGCAAAAGAAATATTACTATTGTAGTAATTTTATTTTTTTAATTAATTGCAATTTTTAAAATTAATTATAATTTTATTATGAATATTTTTTTTAAATAATTACTTTATTAATATATTATTTACTCCTCAATGCATTTATTAATTTGCAGTCCCAATACAAATAAACCAGATGTGATATCTCAAATTTAATTAAATTAAATTAATTTATTTATTTCTCCTCGATGCATTATTGATTTTAGCGTACCACAATGTGATATCACAAATTTATTTTATTCCATTATTTTTATTCCATACTATTCTATTTTATTTAATTTTTTAACTCCTTGATGCATTATTGACTTCCATCCCACAATGCGAATCAACCAGATGTGATTTATTTTATTTATTTGTTTATTCTCATTACAGGAAGGTTTAAAATCCGATGAATTAATTAAACGGCAGCCTTTGCAGTTTGATAATTACACTGTGATTTCGGTTTTCTTTCAATGAATCGTGCAGCACTAGTTTCGAGGCTCATAACGCCAAACTGTGTCCATGGGTTGATACTTTATCACTATTAATTAACCTTATGTTTATGCTTTTTGCTCATGATTGCTGCAGTTGGAAGGCTGTTTTCCAGACACCATGACCCGATGTGCCGAGCTGCTCAATCAAAACATCGATGTGGATTTTGTGGATATAAACTCCGGCTGCCCCATCGACCTCGTTTACAAGAAGGTGATCTGCAGAAAACGAGGCTGCGAGGCCATTTAGCTGCTTTTTGAGATTCCTTTAGGGCTTTAAAGTCTATAAAGGGTTGTATTATTTACTCTGCTGCAGTAGAGGTTTTGTGTTTTTACATCACTCTTTAGTGTTGATTTTTGGCAAATCAGTGGAGGTAAATTTTGCCCATTTTGACCAATTTTGTATTACTATTTAAGCAGTGATTGACTGATTTCTGTGTCTTCAGGGTGGAGGATGTGGCCTCATGACACGAACCAGCAAATTTGAACAGATCGTGAGGGGAATGAACTCTGTAAGTGACTTCTCAGTGTTGAAGCGTGTGTCGGTGTGAAGTAGGGCTGGGTTTTGACACAAATTTCACGATTCGATTCTCATTCACAAGCTTGCGATTCGATTCAATATCAATTATTTTGGATATATATCAGGTACAGTACATGCCAAATTTTCTCAAGGAAAAAAATCTCTCAACTAATGCTGTAAAATATACATGAGAGTCAGTTGGTACTACATTACTATAATATTGAAGGTTAAAATTAATGAAGTTTTTACA